TTCCGGGTTTTGTTGGTTAAATAGAAGCAACTTTTCGTTGGGGAACGCAGTAATTTCAAAACAATTCCTACACACACGCAAGATCCCTCTAGGTGATGCATAGCAACGAGAGGGGAAGAGTGTTGTCCACTTACCCTCGTAGACCGTAAGCGGAAGCGTTATGACAACGCGGTTGATGTAGTCGTACGTCTTCACAATCCAACCGATCCTAGCACCGAAGGTACGACACCTCCGCGATCTGCACACGTTCAGCTCGGTGACGTCCCATGAACTCTAGATCCAGCTGAGGTCGAGGGAGAGTTTTGTCAGCACGACGGCGTGATGACGGTGATGATGAAGTTACCGACGCAGGGCTTCGCCTAACCTCTACAACGATATGACCGAGGTGGAAATCTATGGAAGGGGGCACTGCACACGGCTAAAAACAATCAACTTGTGTGTCTATGGGGTGCCCTCCTCCCCCATATATAAAGGAGGGGAGGAGGAGGCCGGCTGGCCCTAGAGGGCGCGCCAAGGGGGGAGGAATCCTCCTCCTAGTAGGAGTAGTATTCCTCCTTTCCTAGTCCTACTAGGAGGGGAGGGGAGGAGAGGGAAAGAGGGGCCACGCCCCCCTCCCCTAGTCCAATTCGGACTCCCTTAGGGGGGCACCTCCTGGCTACTGCCCTCTCTCTCCCCTACAGCCCACTAAGGGCCCAATAACTTCCTCGGGGTGAAGGAAATATGCCCTAGAGGCAGTAATAAAGTGGTTATTTATATTTCCTTATATCATGATAAATGTTTATTATTCATGCTAGAATTGTATTAACCAGAAACTTAGTACATGTGTGAATACATAGACAAACAGAGTGTCACTAGTATGCCTCTACTTGATTAGCTTGTTCAATCAATGATGGTTATGTTTCCTGACCATAGACATGAGTTGTCATTTGATTAACAGGGTCACGTCATTAGAGAATGATGTGATTGACTTGACCCATCTGTTAGCTTAGCACGATGACCGTTTAGTTTGTTGCTATTGCTTTCTCCATAACTTATACATGTTCCTATGACTATGAGATCATGCAACTCTCGAATATCGGAGGAACACTTAGTGTGCTATCAAACGTCACAACGTAACTGGGTGACTATAAAGATACTCTACAGGTGTCTCCAATGGTGTTTGTTGAGTTGGCATAGATTGAGATTAGGATTTGTCACTCCGAGTATCGGAGAGGTATCTCTGGGCCCTCTCGGTAATGCACATCACTATAAGCGTTGCAAGCAATGTGACTAATGAGTTAGTTGCGGGATGATACATTATGGAACGAGTAAATAGACTTGCCAGTAACGAGATTTAACTAGGTATTGAGACACCGACAATCGAATCTCGGGCAAGTAACATACCGATGACAAAGGGAACAATGTATGTTGTTGTGCGGTTTGACCGATAAAGATCTTCGTAGAATATGTAGGAACCAATATGAGCATCCAGGTTCCACTATTGGTTATTGACCGGAGATGAGTCTCGGTCATGTCTACATAGTTCTTGAACCCGTAGGGTCCGCACGCTTAACATTCGGTGACGATCAATATTATGAGTTTATGTGTTTTGATGTACCAAAGGTAGTTCGGAGTCCCGGATATGATCACGGACATGACGAGTAGTCTTGAAATGGTCGAGACATAAAGATCGATGTATTGGAAGCCTATGTTTGGACATCAGAATGGTTCCGGATGAGTTCAGGCATTTTTCGGAGTACCGGGAGGTTACCGAAACCCCTCGGGGAGTGTATGGGCCTTATTGGGCCTTAGTGGAATAGAGGAGAGGAAGGGAAAAGGTGGGAGGCGCGCCCCCAGCCCAATCCGAATTGGGTGCCCCCCTTTCCTTCCCTCTCTCCTCCCCTTCCTTCTCTCCTACTCCTACTACTTGGAAAGGGGGAATCCTACTCCCGGTGGGAGTAGGACTCCCCTAGGGCGCGCCATAGAGGGTCGGCCCTCCCCCCTCCTCCACTCCTTTATATACGGGGGAGGGGGCACCCCATAGACACACAAGTTGATCGTTGTCTTAACCGTGTGCGGTGCCACCCTCCACCATAATCTACCTTGGTCATATCGTATCGGTGCTTAGGCAAAGCCCTGTTCCGGTAGCTTCATCATCACCGTCATCAAGCTGTCGTGCTGACGAAACTCTCCCTCGACACTCAGCTGGATCTAGAGTTAGTGGGATGTCACCGAGCTGAACGTGTGCAGATCACGGAGGTGTCGTACCTTCGGTGCTAGGATCGGTCGGATCGTGAAGACGTTTGACTACATCAACCGCGTTGTCATAACGCTTCGGCTTATGGTCTACGAGGGTACATGGACAACACTCTTGCCCTCTCGTTGCTATGCATCACCTAGATAGATCTTGCGTATGCGTAGGAATTTTTCTGAAATTACTGCGTTCCCCAATAGTGGTATCAGAGCCAGGTCTATGCGTAGATGTTATATGCATGAGTAGAACACAAAGGAGTTGTGGGCGTGGGTATATACATATTGCTTGCCGTCACTAGTTGATTCTTGATTCAGCGGTATTGTTGGATGAAGCGGCCCAGACTGACATTACGCGTACGCTTACGCGAGACTAGTTCTACTGACGTGCTTCGCACATAGGTGGCTAGTGGGTGTCAGTTTCTCCAACTTTAGTTGAATCGGATTCAACGAACAGGGTTCTTTCTGAAGATCAAAAGGCAATCACTACCGGTGTCCGAACATAGCCGTCCAATATATCAATCTTTATGTCTCGACCATTTTGAGACTCCTCTTCATGTCCGTGATCACATCCGGAACTCTGAACTACCTTCGATACATCAAAACACATAAACTCATAATACCGATCGTCACCGAACGTTAAGCATGCGAAC